AACTTTCTACTGCAATGATTTAGAATTTCCACTTCAGTGAGATTTTACACTGAGTACGTGTCTTTCGAAACATGTTCGAAACAGCTTCGAAATTATCGTTTTCCCTTTTAGAATTACTCAAAATTTCCTACAAATTTCCATTAAATAATTTTCTTTTATAATTATCAAAGGAAAACCGGTATACCGATAATATCGGTATAATTTTTTCGGTATACCGATACCGGAAATTTCTCATACCGAACATTCCTAGTTAAAGTTGGTCAATTGTTGGAGAAAATGCTGGAAATTTCCCGGAACATTTTTTACTGTTTGGCTCAATTGTTTGGAAAAGTTGGTCAAAGCAACTCGACAACCCTCCCCCCCCGCCCCAAATGTTAATAGCGAGCTTAAACAAGCGAGGTTTTTGTCAACACGGACGCCAGATTGCCGAGGGGAAACTGGATTAAAAACTGTGTTTGCATCAGTTTGTATTAATCTTTTTACACATATGACAAAACATAAGATTTTTAAATTTTTTGCTTTTTTACACGAGCGCTATGATACAAAATGCATGCAAAATGAGTTATACCAGCGTTCGTGTTGACAAAAACGTCGCTTGCTTAAGCTCACTAATGACTTCGCGACGTCCCTGGAGAAACAAAATTGAAAGTAGACAATTTTCCTTTTATCTGCTGTATAGTTATGTTCATTATGTTCTTATGAAAAAAAATTCGTGGGGGAAAGTTGGTGAATCAATTATAAAACTTTCTATCGATAAAATTAATGATTGTCATAATGAGATTTGTTTTTGAGCATTTTTGTGAAATAATTTTTGGGGGAAACATTGGGGAATCCGACTTGTTTTTATGCCATTTTTTTCAAGATACCTGTTGATTGACAATACTGGCCGATACACTATTTATTTCTTCGGCCAAAGATTGATTTTCGGTCGAAAGAACGCTTGTTTCTGCTGCATCCATACTTCTAAGACATGATTATGTAAATTTTTCTTCTTTTAATAAAGACGTGTTTCTGTCATTGTGTGCAGTGGCGTAACTACTATGGGCTCAGACCGGGTGAACCCGGGGGCCCGCAACCCAAATGGGGGCCCCCAGGCTTAGGCGATAGGGAAAAAACATTGACCAGGGCCTCTGATATGTTACAATGTCGTTTTATGACCATCAGAATTCTGTAAAATCTCTCCCCAAAGTCCAGGAAATGGCATTTAAGAGAGTCTAGATTCAAAAATTTTCTGGATGACCATGCCCTGGACCCCCTAGAAAACTCGTGTATATACGGCGCTCGACTCGTGCCTTTGGCACTTCTACTAGGGGGGCCTTCGAAAATTTTGAACCGGGGGCCCCTTAATATAACGTTACGCCACTGATGCTGTGTTTCCACATGTTTCTGTGCTTCAACTTCATGTGAAAAAAATCCCACTTTTTTAAAAACTCCTTAGATTTTCTTTGATTATACACGGAAATTATCTAGAAATTTCCAACATTAGTTTAACGTAATTCTGGTGAACCCATCTCCTGCTCAAAATGGTATGGATGTGACCTTTCTTTACCAGCTGATCTAGCTCAATTTTGAGAGTCAGCATTCAAGGACGTCTGGCAAACCCACCCCCCTGATTAAAATGTCTGTCAGTGGTCATTTATGACTCCTGGCACTACGCTGAACATTTTGCACTTACTTCCGTCGGGTTTCCTCACCAGCTGATCTAGCTCAATTTTGGGGTCAGCATTCAAGAACGTCTGGCGAACCCACCCCCCTGATGAAATTGTCTGTCAGTGGTCATTTATGGCTCCTGGCACTATGCTGAACATTTTGCACTAAGTTTTGTTGGGTTACATCACCAGCTGATCTAGCTCATTTTGCGGCTTAGTTTCTCACTCCCCCCTGACCACATCCACCAGTGTGTGTCCGGCAGACGTCCATTTTCTTAGATCACTAGGTACATAGACCAATGCAGTATGCATAAAAATTGGTAACCTTTCCAGCTAAGCTCATACCCCTGGGCTCCCGGTCTATATGGAAGGACATAATCTCATTATCAAGTAAATCAACTGCAATTCTGACAGCAATCATGAGCAATTCTGCTTCGCACTTCGGGGGCAGAAATGGCTTTACTGGGGGGAGGGGGGCAAATTCTTTCCCTGGGGGGGGGCAATTGCCCCTCCAGATATATAGTTAAAAAAGGCACTGTTGTAATGTGGGGTTAATATCCAATTGAGTACGCTGCCAAGCATTGTTCGTGTGGGAACTAGCTTGCGCCGAAGACAGATTATAAACATTTCGAAGTGAAAGTGCCATAGGATAAAAAACTTTACGACGTTTCGAGCGAACCCATTAAATCATCGTAATAAAGCTCGGTCTTTAATTAGATTTGGATTACAAAATAAACACTTTGTTCATGCGAAAGTGGACAAATAGTAATGTACGTCACTACTTTGTGGCTGCTTCGTCGGAATTCAATAACAACAAGAGACCCACACGCTTAAAAATGCTTAGGAAACATTACTTGAAATACTGACTGAATACTTGGAAATGCGCTCTTTGCAGCTAATTAAAAATAGTCGAGAACAATTAAAGTAACTGAAGAGCATGGAGAGTTGTGGGCTGTGTGGAATTTAAAAACAAAGAAGTAAGAGAAAGAATAGCATTTCTTGCTCTCCATGCACAGTATGGTTATACAAATTGTTTTCAAGCCAACTGCAAGGGGTCTATTCACGGTTTTGCAAAACTACAATCCGTGACATTGATAGGTGAGACTAGTTCGGAAGGTTATTTTTGTAAACAATTGCAAAACTATCATATAAAACCCCTCTTCCCCATTTCAATGTTGCTGTCTGTGAAATTTTCAGTTTCAGCTTTGTACTACAAGACTTTGTACTACTATAATAATGGCTTAGGCCACGAAGGCGCAACCAAAGGCGAGGGGCATGGGTTTCTGTTACCTTTAATGATAAGGAACAGAAAAAGTACCAACTTTCAATTACGCGTTCTCAGGCATATGTTATAGTTCAACTGCAATTTCCCAGCGCAGGACGTGTCATTTGTAAGAGCAGTCGAAACTCCGATTTCGTCCATGGTTTTACTGACTAAATAAACCATGTATGGGTATAGATGTTTATATTGCTTAGATTATATTAATTTCTGTTTTTGCTGATTATATTGTGATTATTATTGTTGATTCTTTGCTAATGGTGATGGTTATGATGTTGGTGATGGTCTCTACTGCATTAATTCGTTCACTCGCTTAATTATGTTGACGATGTCTCTAACACGCATCTTTTCTTCATCAGTGAAGTCGTCCGAAATCTGCGATTGAACCGCATCCCGATCAACTACTGGGTGCGCAAACTGTTTTCTGGACTCGAGTAGTTTAAAGAATACTCTTTCATCTCTTCAATCTGGCCTGTATGAAGAACACTTTCTATCTCCTTTAATTTGATTTCGTGTCGCTCCACTTTTTTATTTAAATGTGCTATCTGTCCGTCTGTTCCAAAAACCTTTCCTTCCAGGCGAGCAACTCGCTTTTGATCATCTTCTTCATCCTCTTTAAGGATCCTTATTTTTTCTTCTAAGCTCCTTATTTTCTGTTCTGAGTTGCTTACTTTTCTTTCTAATTTCCTGATTTCCTCGAGATTTAGCTCGGCCGATTCGTTGATTCCCTCTATCATCTTTTCTGCCATTTCTTTGATTCCTATCAAGTCGTCCTTTAGGTCTTGTACTTCTGGTATCGCATGTCCTGCAACATTAAGCTGTTCAATATTTTCAGTTTTCTTTATGTGAGTCATAATCCTTTCATGTACCTTTTTTGCAAGACAAGGCAAATCCATCTTTTGCTTCGAAATGGTTTTAACCAATCTAGGTTTTAAATTTTCTTTCTAATTCCCTTTGATTTCCTGTAAAGAAAATATATACAAACATGTAGATAAGAATGTGGATAATGATATTTTGCCTATTAGACAAAATTGGGGATCTATCGTTGCTATATAACATAGGATTTGTCAATAATAAATTTTTAAAGTCGAAATTTTGGTTTTATACAATCAAACGTTTGTTATGTCGGCGGATGCTGTAGAAGAATAATTAAGTAATTAAAATATTTTTGTAAAATTAAATTGTGAAAGGCGTTAACCCCCCGCAGTGTTTAATAAACTAAAAAGCTTTTGGTCGAGTCTAGAAATATTTTAAGGAATGTTTATAGGCTATGATTTTTGTACTGATTTTTTATGTACTCTGATTATGTTTAATAAATACAATTAATCATCCGATCGACGGCATCATCAACTAGTGACCTTCCATATTTATACATGAAGTGTATATTTAGGAAATACTGAAACACCATGCAACTACTTTGCTGTACTCGTGAATAAAACTAAAATAAATTTCAAATACAAATTCAGGTTATTTGGACTCTTACACCGACGGCCGCAACGACTGAGTCTTCGCTACGTACGTCCCTGTGAACTGTCATCGTCATCAATCAATTTTATTTAAATGAAAACACACTAGCCTCGCACGACTGAAAGCTGATTTACAGGAGGAGCGTGATATATAAAACAGTAAAATATATAGAATATTATATAAACCCCCAACCTCCCCCCCGCCCAACAACAAAGAAAAATAAAGTCAAGTAAAGTAAGTAAAGATTAACTATAATTAAGTCAACATGGTTCTAAAAGGACAGTTCCGCAATACTACGCTTAAATTGACTGAGCGAAGTCGCTCTTTTTGCATCTAATGGAAGATTATTCCACAGCAACACTATACGGGCTTCGCTTCAAAAAATTAGTTTTTGGTTTTGGAAGTGCTAGATCCGTTTCCTGTTTTCGTACATTATGGCCTCTAATAAGTTCTTTAAGTCTTACGAGGCTTTCTCTTAAACATGGCAAACAATTTTCATTAAGGATTTTATACATAATTAGGATACTCTTCAACTTAACCCGCCTAACATGTAAATTATCCCATCCTAAACCTTCCAAGAGATCACTTGATCTGATCCTATCATCATATCTTGCTCCAGTGATAACTCTAGCCGCACGATTTTGTAGTATTTGCAATTTATCTTTTAATATTTTATCGCATGTATCCCACAGGGGAGAGCAATAATCAAAATATGGCTGAGTTAATGATTTGTATAATGTAACAAGAAAACTCTGCGGAACGAATGGTTTAATTCTCCTCAATGCTCCTATGCCTGAACAGATCTTCTTGCATATTTCTTCAATATTGATATCAAAAGTCAACCTGTCATCAAGACTCCCAAACATTTATTCGAGACAACAGATGAAATTACGTTATTGTTCATGATAATACTTTTGTACAATTCACCAACTTTGTTGGTCAAATTTTGTTTAGATCCTGTGACAATAAGCTTAGCCTTAGAAGGATGGGATTAGAATTTATTTACATTTAACCAATCTGTGACATTTTCTAAATCAGAGTTAATATCATTAGCCAGCGCAACAGAGTCGTGTGACTGTGAGTCAATGAGGACACGTCACGCAGTTCAGTGTTGGTAGGTTTCTCTTTGGACATCAGTTGTGGTCAAAATCACTGAAATGTTGACACTTATATTCTGACAACTGCTGGTTGACCAACACCATTTGCCCCATCTACATATTTTGAGGAAACACGGCAAAAGCCATGAAAGATCTCGGTACGTTGTTGCCAGTGATGGCTATAAATTGATAATTTGTAAATAACAAAATGTTATTAAAGTAAAAGTACTTACCAGTCTGAGAATCGTATATTAATCCTCATTTCACTTAACAACGACAGAAAAACAGGTCTGTTTCGTATAGCGAATGTATATTGCATGCAGAGTATTATGTATTATATTAGCAGTGTATATTGCTTATTCCTCCAGTACCTTACTGGCGCACAGTAATAGTTAACTTAACTATGATCTTACTTCTGATTAATAATAGTCAGCGAAACATGACAAATTCATGAAAATTCATGAACGAACACAAAGGAAATGGAACCATATCGTCATCTGCACCACAGCAGGGAACTACTTTAAGTAGGTTTCATTGCCAACGAGCAGAGGCGTCTTTAATTAAACACGCGGGCTACATACCTGGGCCCAACCCCAAATTGTGAGGCATGCGCTTATGTTGACAAAAAGTTCTTATTAATTTTAGTTTATGAATAATCAGTGATAAATATCACTTATTCGTTGCTTTGTCCTTGTAATATGCTAGCGCTAAGAAAAGTCTTTATTAATAAAGCCAAGAGCCAAGTAAGCTAAGAGCATTTAAATTTTCCGCATGCTTTTCTTTCTACTAGCAATTGATAGATCAAAGCCAGAACACACAATCATCTTAGCGTATATTAGTTCTGATGTTTCATTTCAACAAAATGTATCGTGGGGTTAATATCCAATTGAGTACGCTGCCAAGCATTGTTCGTGCCCAAACTAGCTTGTACCGAAAACAGATTATAAACATTTCGAAGTGAAAGTGAAAAAAAATAAAAAACATCACGACATTTCGAGCGAACCCATTAGATCATGCTAATAAAGATCGGTCTTTAATTAGATTTCAATTGCAAATGAAAATAAACACTTTGCTCATGCGAAAGTGACTGAGAAATAGTAATGTACGTCACTACTTTGTAGCTGCTTCGTTGGAATTAATATTCAATAACAACAAGAGACCCACACGCTTAAAATGCTTAGGAAACATTACTTGGAATACTGACTGAAACTTGGAAATTCGCTCTTTGCAGCTAATTAAAAATAGTTAGAGTGTGTGGGCGTGGGATTTACAAACTAATCATATAGAGGACAAAATTACTCAAATATGATTGGCTGAGACGCAAGCGCGAGAAGTTTAAATAGCATTTTATTGCCCTCCATGCAAAGTATGGTTACGCAAATCGTTTTCAAGCCAATTGCAAAGGGTCTACAGGGTATCCCAGAAAAAGTTCTGGGAACTTAAAATAGCTTCTATAACAAACAGCAACACAAAAATGCCAAAATACAAATTCGTCTTACTGTCAGTTCGAGTAAGAATGGTTCAACTGAATACACAAGCAATGAGAATTTGTAGTAACAACTTATACGTTAACGCAAAGTGTAACTGAAGTGCTAAATTATTTGGACGAAGGGAAAAGGTAAATACTACCGCCATTCATGTACAATTAAATTAAATTCCCAAACGTATAATAACACACAACAGTGGTTTCTAAAGTTAACGGGGCTTTTTTGGAGACACCCCGTATTCGCGGTTTTACAAACCTACAATCCGTGGCATTGAAAGGTGGGACAATTAGATTGGAAAGTTATTTTTGTAAACAGTTGCAAAAATAACATGTAACCCGTTTCCCCTTTTCAATGTTGCTGTATGTGCTGGGAGAGTTATCAGCAACGCAATACAACATAAAACTATTGTAAGGCCCCTTTCGTACGCCGTACTTCACATATGCCGAATACATTAATTAAACACAATAGATAATGAGGCATTTCAGCTCATTATCCCATATCTCTATGCTGTGCTGTGGTCCTTCCTTTGTTCACCATGGGGATCCTGTAGTCCCCTTTGCATTTGACCAAAATTTTTCAAAACGTGTTTCCATGAGTTGAAAGTGATCGTTTTGATCAGAGAGATGTTTTTCGTTTTGGGACACTTTTTGAATTTCTCAAAAATTTCCTGTGGTCCCCCTTTGCTCACCCTACAATCAGGAGCAAAAATTATTGAGACAACAGCATAAATGCCCCCTCACCCCCAATTCAATGTTGTGTGAATGACTGAAAAGAGAAAATTCAACCCACATTTTCCAACATTGATCATGGGGGCAGGGGGGAGGCCGACGTACGTTAAAATTGGCAAAAACGTGAAAAGTCAACCTTGTACCCAGGGCATTTTGATTCCGGTCAGCGAAAATGGCCCTGGCATCGGCCGGTCACATGACCACAAAATCTCCAATATTTGGGGTGTTCAATTATGATAATTTTGCGTATAAGTACGTAATAGAATAATTATATACATTTTAATTACTGACAGAAGTATTGACAAGGCAATGTTGCGTGTATAATCCAAGAGAAAGCAACAAAATAAGTTGACTTTATTCGGTTCCGTTGCTTACACCTCATTCAGCAACATAGCCCGTAATATTGATGACTTTTAAACATAATCAGAGCCTGGTTAGCCTGTGATTCAATTCTTAATAAACAACCAAACAAAACAAAACCGCTTCAGCGTTTGGTTTTCTATAAATCGTGTTTTGAGCAAATATATTCGCATTACAATCTTTATTTTACTATAACCCTGTACGTTTCTTGGAATCAACGATGTATAAACGACGCATGTGAGAAATGTATGTTGAATCGAATCAAATACTCGTCTATACAAAATGTACAAAGACTTAATTTGGACCAAATAGTTTTGTGATGTATTGTCTTTCCCCAATTCATACTGTATCTCAAGCGAAATGTTAAAAATCTTATTTACTCAATACTTTGAGTCAGTCCTTCAAGAACTAATTATAAATTTGTCACTTCACTCTCGTTCCACCAAAATAATAATTATTCCCAAATATATTGAATAATAACATTCAAAATCATTGACCAATCAGGTTGTAAAACAGACCAGCCGAAGCCTGGGCCTTTTTCGCTGACCATCCAACCGCGGAAGCAAAAAGCCCTGGAAACGAGGTTGGTGAAAAGTCTCATTATTTTTGCACGCGATTCAATCAGGAGCAAAAATTATTGAGACAACAGCATAAATGCCCCCTCACAACGACCTTTTGGTCTTTATTGTAGGGTAGAGAAAAAGGATTAGCTATGATACAAAACATTAAGCTTTCACCGTCAAACCTTGCAGTCTAGTGGTAAAGACTACATGCTGTGTGATGTACCATTGTGGTTCAAATCCTACTAACATCATTTTGTGATTTAAAAATGGATGAATTTTAATCATACAATCTAGAGAAAAAAATAAGGTGAATAAGTTGCAATAGGCTTCCAACAACGAGCAAGTGGTCTAGTGGTAAAGACTTCATGTTGTGTAAAGCACCATTCTGGTTCAAGTCCTAGGTCCTACATAAGTCATTTCGTGACTTGAAATGTGTCGATTATTAATTGCCCAAGCTGGAGAAAAAAGGTTAAGGTGAATAAGTTGCGCTAGGCTTCCATCAACAAGCAAGTGGTGTAGTGTTAAAAACTATAGGCTGCGTAATTTACCGTTGTGGGTCAAGTCTTACAGAAGTCATTTTGTGATTTGAAAATGGTTGAACATTAATTAAACAAGCTGGACGAAAAAGGTTAACGTGAATAAGTTGCGACAGGCTTCCAACAACGCGCCAGTGGTCTAGTGGTAAAGACTACATGTTGTGTCATGTACCATTGTGGTTCAAGTCATCGGAAGTCATTTTGTGACTTGAAATGTTTCCAATACTAATTACACAGGTTAGAAGAAAAAGGTTATGGTGAATAAGTTGCGATAGGCTTTCCACAACGAGTAAGTGGCCTAGTGGTAAAGACTACATGCTACTATGGGCCTCCTTTGCCGCCTTCCCACCGCACGCTGTCATATTCTAAGTCTACCGCGCATGCGCCACACTATGGTAACTACTAAAGATTAATTTCATTGTCTTCTCCAAACATTTGCCAGGCCGCCATTTTTTTGTATTCTTCTTCTTCCGTCCTACAACTTTTTTCTTTATCATTCTTTCATTCCGTTCTCGAACCGATTCTGACACACGACATTGGCTTTTACAGTCCGATATCGCTACCACTAGACCACTTCCTCGCTGTTGGAAACCTACCGCAACTTATTCACCTTAACCTTTTTTCCTAGCCTGTGTAATTAATATTCGACACATTTCAAGTCACAAAATGACTTCTGTAAGACTTGCACCACAATGGTACATTAGACAACATGTAGTCTTTACCACTAGACCACTTAGTCGTTGTTTGAAGCCTACTACAATTTATTCACCTTAACATTTCTCTCCAGATTGTATAATTAAAATTCAACCATTTTCGAATCACAAAATGACTTATGTAGGACTTGAACCACAATGGTACATTACATAACATGTAGTCAGGGCCGTCCCAAGAGGTATTTGGTTGGGGTTTGAATTAATGATACCTCCCCACACACCCCAGATGTTCCGTGCCTGCATGTAGTCTTTACCGCTAGATCACTTGCTCGTTGTTGAAAGCCTACCGCACTTATACACCATAACCTTTTTCTTCTAACATGTGTAATTAATATTAGGCACATTTCAAGTCTGAAAATGACTTCTGTAGGACTTAAACCACAATGGTACATTACACAACCTGTAGTCTTTACCTCTAGACCACTTGCTCGTTCTTGAAAGCCCGTCGCGGCTTATTCATTATAACCTTTTTCGTCTAACCTGAAAAAAAATGGCTAAAATGCACGAAAAGTTAAGACTATAGCCTTACTATTTTTCCCCTTTTTCAAAATTGAAAAATGGCGAAAAATGGACAAAAATGGACGGGTATAGCGTTATGTTTTTGCCATTTTTCAAAAATGAAAAAAGTGGCTAAAAAGTTAACGGTATAGCCCTAACTTTTTGCCATTTTTTTCCCCTTTTTAAAAAATGCAAAAAGTGGCTACAAATGGACGAAATGTTAAGGCTATGGCCTTACTTTTTGTCATTTTTTCATCATTTCATCACTGCCGTGATTGCAGGCTCAGGATCAAGAAGATTCGTATGTTTTCTATTTCTTAAACGGGGAAATTAAACATTAAGTTAAACCTATTCCAAATACATTTTTAAACCATTCAAATAATGAAAGTCATTGTTGTTTTAAGCGTTTATTAGCGAGTGGGAGCAAAAATACTTTCAACTAAACGGTCGTTCAACAGCCATGTTTACTTTTCTTTTTCACAACTTCAGGAGCTCTTTCAAATAAAATTCTGACATAAATATTTGGAACCGCAGTATAAGTATCCAGCATTCAGGGGCGTAGGAAGCGGGGGGGGGGGGCACGGGGGGCACGTGCCCCCCCAAATTTTTTTAAAGGACTAAAAGTGCCCTTTTTTGTGATAAAAAGTGCCCTTTTTGTGTTGAAAAGTGCCCTTTTTTGTGAGGAAAAGTGCCCCTTTTGTAGAAGCTAATGTCGCTGCAAATACTAAATTAAAACAATAGGTGCCGTTTTTGTGTGGAAATTTACAAATTTTTTTAAAAAATTAGGTCACAAACATAAATTTCGGTATGATACGACGGAAAATTTTCCTCAGGAGAAATTTCTCCCCCCTGCTGTACTGGAGTGAGAAAAGTATACGAAATTCCTTGTATTTGTCACCAATCACAAGGCTAATACATAAAACGAACAGTCGACTCACTCTGACAACTGTGTTTTGTTTTAGAGTTGACCCCCAATCTCGTACCTAGAGTATGCCCGTTCGCAGGTTAGGGGCTGGGCATGACTCTCATGGAGAAACGGAATGAAGTTATCAATTTCATTGGCTGGCGTGATATCAATAACACCGATACCGGAAAACCTGCGAACGGGCATACTCTGGGTACGAGATTGAGTTGACCACCGTCACGTTTGTGACGTCATATGAAACCCAAGAATTAAGAATTGGGGTATATCAAAGTAATGCTAAAATAGTTATTTGAATTATTGAATTTAATAAAACGGGTTTTAAGTACTTGTTAAAAATGAGCAGCTGATCTTTATGGGCATCAGCTGCAAATATTTTAACGTACTTGTAAAATGAATCGGCAATCTGAATCTCACGCTTCATTAGCATGCATTTAGAATCTCAATTAATATTCATAACTTTCATAAACATCCCTCTAACTTGATTTAATGATCTTTAATTAATGTGACCAAAATACCGCGTCGCGATTTGTTTGTAGCCTCATTAATTATTTGTGAATTTTACAAGTGACTATACAGCATGAACGGCCGTGTTGAATCAGATATACACGATATAATACGGACGCGGATGCTTTATATAGCTTGTGAAACGTCTCGATGAGAACATTCGTATTCTTCAACAATTTAAAATAAATGAATGATATTTGGTGAGAAAATTGAACTTACAGTTTATGTAAATCAGCATGCATGATTCTGTATCAGATATACAAACTCCTTCACGCTCATGATTTTTTGTGTTTCTTCATGACTGAATTGTTAACGAGTTTCACAATTCAATTATATGTTCATAAGATGACATATATGGAGGAATTTGTACTTGTTAATTGCTATGCGTAAATATAATCATAAAAATTCCGTATATTATTAAAGAAATCACAAAGAGTAATCGCTAAAAGTAATCAATGTTAGGCACTTTAGGAAAACAAAACCCAGAAATAACTGGAATGAAGTATCAAAAAATCATTCAGCAGAAAACCAAAAGTGGTTACTTCCCGATACAGGAGTTATCGATTGTTCACGCGATTTCCGAGTGCGCAGTTGACGTTAATTTGACAAATTATTTCTCGCGTCGACGCGGAGTCTCAGCTCAATGATCTGATTACGATTTCTGCGCACTTTGTTAGAATAATTTGCGCATTAAATTAAAGAGATAGACGAAATCACAAATATACATTGTTCGTGCATTGAGCATGTATCAAAAGTTTGAATATTTATGAGCATGCATTATTTTGGCAAACTCAATAATCTACGAGAAAACCTCAAAGCTAGGAGTGTTGTCTTGTAACACATAATAAATGGCATTTAGTAATCTTTCGTGTTAAATTCCCATTAAGCCAATTCAGAGTGTCCCACGTGTTCAGCGTTGAGATAAACCATTGCGCTATTAATTATTGCAGTTGTATAATTAAATGTAGTAGAGAATCATTACATATATATAGATGCATTTTATAGTATTGAATTGTTCTGAATTGTTATTTGTGTTTCACTTATAGCCACAATAAAACCATCATTAAATAATTTTTGTACTAGCATATTTTGTCTTCTGTGTAAAGCATGATAATGAAAAGTACAGTGAAGGATTATAGTCTAATTTAAAGCAGGTTGACTAGCCGTGCAGAAACAAAATGTTTTTCTGAGCGACTTTTTGCATACTTGATTGATGATTGAACAGTTGAACTGATATGCATATTCTAATCCTTCCAGGATTAGCAATGTGTTATATAGTTCAACTCCATTTTATCCTGAAGCGGAACGTAAACACGGCAAATTTGGATGCGCAGTCGAGAATTGATGCGCAGTCGAGAGAGGTTACAATATACTGTAATATATTTCTTTTTATGTACATGATATCTGATAATTCCCATTTCACCGAAATTGTTCCACAATATAATATAGTATTTTGCTGCCTTGTGATAATATATATGCAACCCGTGATGCAACGTACGCTGATATTAAAGGACAAGATCATATTTTAATGCGGATTCATTTAGGTTTTTCCCAGGGGCCTAGGAAGTATCGAAAGATTGGGGGTAGTGGCACTGGCTTGGAAGGGCACTTTTGCCTGTTGGATAATGAAAAGGACACCTAAAAACACTTCCCGGAAATGTTAGTTCGGATATGATAAATTTGCCCAAATTTCCAATTGCAACGTACAATCAACATTTTTGTAAAAACATCGAATTAATTTC